GGAAATTAGACAAGAGTTGTGGTTACCCTCAGAATTTCAATTGGGCAATAATACAAATAAATTCATTGACATAGTGATTGGGATTCACAACCTTAGTGCCTTGCAATTTTGATTGAGGAACAATATTTTTGAAAGACTGTGTTTGCAATTGCTAAAATTGTTGATATTGCACTGATTAACAATAACCCTGTAGCACATGTGACAGACTTCCATAAACATTTCTCAGACTGTCAAATCTCCAAAAAATGGTTCTATACCAACTGGCAAAGTCTCAAAAAATGTTTCCAGACTCATAAATGCTTGGCTGAAAAGGCTTTATGGCAGGTATTTGACATTTTCTGCATTTTTTGTAAAAATTAAGTAAGAAATTATTTTTGAAGCAGGTATGCTGGAGGAATTTCTTTTGGAAATTAGGAAGATGGGCTTGAAGAAAGATTTCTCAGAAGGAAAAGAATTAAAATAATTTATTCCAGTTCATGGAAATTTGTGTCAAGTGTAATCTGAAGAATAGCCAACTTTAATTTTTTGTCACTTGCCAATGTCTATCCAAAAATGCAAATAAAGATGTCTGACTTCATTGTTATTATTGATTCATTCATGAAATGCTGGAGAAAATTTCCTGCAGACCAGCAAAAAAGAAACTTTCTGCTGACCAGAAGCAGGGGTTGGTGAACACTGCTTTTTGGCAGTAAATATTTTACAGTCAACTCAGGCAAATTATCCAACACAAGCTTGAGCCTGAAATTGAAAGCCAACTTACAGAACAGGTGCCTTGGACGTTTCGATTCCAGTAGCAGATGTGTTTCTCATTTATATTCACGCCACCGCCCAGAAATTTTCTGCAATCCCCTTCTGAATACATTGTGAAAGTGGCATATTGCAGAATGTTTGTCCTGGAATCTGTAAAATACCAGAGAAAAAATGCAGGAGAATGAGTTACTCATGGGAGAATTGAGAAAAAATGGTTTCACTCAATTTGAGGATTATGTTTTGTGGCATATAGAAAAACATATTTCTGGCATCACAGGAACTTCAAATTCAACTAATCACAAGACCCCTAAAAAACAGGCTGCTTCTCTTCCAGCAACAAAATCAAGTGCAAAAAAAATTTAAAAAGTCTTCTTTTTTTACAACAGATGAAACCAATCCCATATTGTGAGATTAATTGCAAAAAGTGTTTGTTATTTGAAGAGTTCTGCTGGAGCTCTTTTCTTTCTGTTCATTGTGCTGACATTTGATGATATCTGAATGCCTTCTTATTTATTATTTTAGGACATCATGGAAAAACATCTCAATTCTTTCAATTGAGAAATTCCACAGGGATTTCCAGCTTTATCCCAGGCTGATTACTTGTTTATTCCAAATTCCTTATCTATACAGTGGCCCCCCGCCTAACAGACATCCCGTGTAAGGGATTTTCGCCTAACAGACCAGCTCTGCAAGCATTTTTCCTCCCACCCAACAGACAAAATCCGACAAACAGACTTCTTTAAGTTTAAAATTAGTGTTGAAAATTCAAATTTTTAATTTTTTATGTAATTGAATTCGTGTAAAGGACTTTTTGTCTAACAGACTCATCCCTTGCATGAATCAAGTCCGTTAGACGGGGGTTGACTGTATTATTGTTATCCTTTGATTTTCTTCAACTTTATTTTTTGCCGGTAAATTACTTAGTGTCAACACAGTGAGACCCCAACATGAGGACAACCCCAACATACAGAAAATTTGACTTATTAGGGACACTTGAAGACAAAAAAAAATCTAGCTCAACATCTGGACATTGGCTTGAGTTAAGGACACTTTTCTGTAAATATCCCAAAATATTGAGGCATTAAAAAATTCTTGTACTGTATCTTTTTGAAGGAATCAAGCTACTTTTATTCACTGAAATTTTTAAAATATTCATGATAAATTTGCTCTAATTCATAATCAAAAGCAAACTGATTTTGTGCTTATTTTTTCAGAGTTTTACTTGTGTCATCTGTGCAAATTCTAACAAGACTTGTTCTTTTTCTTTGTTTGAGGGTCTAATTTTGATACCAAACAATCATATTCTGAGTGGTTTGTTTTGCACTGCTGTTTTCTACAACTTCAAGTGGAGCTAAAATACTTTTTATATTCTTTTGAGGACTTACAATATTTCTAATTCATGACAAAAATGGAGAAACAATGAAATACATTAGCATTGAAGTCAAAGGGAAAATGAGATTCTATTCAGCAAAATTCTGACATCAGGACACTCTTGATGCACCAATTATTATCGCATCTTGGGGCAACACTGTACATATATTTTGAGAAAACTTACTTGAGCCTTTTTGTGTCAGACCCCAGCCAGCAACAACAGCACTTTTCCCATCAAAGTGATTCCTATAGGGATCTGAAGAAGGTAGACAAACAGGTTGGACATATTGGCTGAAGACAATTTGGCGAGATGCACGCATTAGTCCAATGTCGTTGTCAATCCTTCCACTGCCCTGTAAATCTAAAAATGAACACATTTAAAAAATAATTACAACAGATTCACAAGTACCATATCAATAATACAAAGTCCAACCTCTTCAAGACTAAATTTACTGGGACCAGCAAAAAAAAAAGACTAATGGAGGTTTCAAGTTAGGGAACCCACCATTTTTTTGGGGGGAAGAAGGAGAAACAGAGGAGCTTCAAATTTATGGCATTTTTGGCCAAAAACCATTGCTTTTTAAAGATATGAGAGAATGCTGAACTTGGGGGCAAGGGTTCATTTATTCCCAGTTAGTCACTGAAATCCTTCTGAAAAGCATCAAGCTACATTTTCATTCCTTTTATCTTTGATATGGGAATAAAACAAGTACAGTCAACCCCCATCTAACAGACTTGATTCGTGCAAGGGATGAGTCTGTTAGATGAAAAGTCCTTTACACGAATTCAATTAGATAAAAAATTAAAAATTTCAATTTTCAACACTAATTTTAAAACAAAAGAAGTCTGTTTGGTGGATTTTGTCTGTTGGGCAGGAGGAAAAACTGCTTGCAGAGCTGGTCTGTTCAGCAAAAATCCCTTACACGGGAGGTCTGTTAGGGGGGGGGGGCACTGTAGATTGATGGATCTTGATAAAATGAGGTTTTATTTAATTTATGCTTACATTATAGTTTATTATAACAGTATTATTATTATTACTGTATTTAAAAAATAATTTAAACATTTTACTACTTATTCATTTATTTTTATTTATTTTACTATTTTTTTCATATTTGGAGGAAATAATAACAATCAAACCTCTTCAAGTCAAAATTGAAGGGCCATTTTCAGTAACAAAAATAAGAATTTTTGCTGGGGAAAAGAAAGAATATAGTTGCTGGACATTTTAATTGGTGATATTCTGGGGCTGAAATTGCTTCTTGAACATGATTTTAATGGATGCTCAATTTGGATGAGGCAAGAGGAATTATTTGCCTCTTTATTCTTCTACTACCCTCCAAAACACATGAAAATTCCCATTTCTTTTTCCTGTGTGTGGAAAATAATAACTAAAAAGGTCTCCAAAAAATTAAGCCAGAGACTCAAAAACAAAATTGGTACAGGGAGCATTTTGACAGATCAGGGAAGTTTCAAGTGAAATAAAAATTGCATTGAACAGTTTGAGCCAATTGAAAAAAATGAGGCTGGCCCTGGAACAAGAATCACAATACGCAGTAACATCTAGCGACCTCTACCTGGCTGCCATCAAAACTCGCACAAGTCAACACAGCTGACGGACGCAGAGAGAGCCACTAAACAACCCCCCGTCACCACCTGACGAAATCAGTTGCGTTTGAAGAGTCAGCATAAAATTTTAAGATTCACAGCCTGTATAGGCACGTGGAAGATTTGATGGCAACCGGTAGATGTCACTTCAACTCCACCTTCAACAAAATCTCGATGCGGAATAATTCTGTCAGCCTCGATTTCGTAGGCACCAGGACGTTCAGGTCCGCTGATTTGAGATCTGTCCAGTTCTCCAAAGCGCAATGTTGCTCTGGAAGCCACGACCCTGAATAATGTGCATGCCATTGGAAAATTCAGCATGGAAACACAGAAGAAAATATGAAAAAAAACTGGATTTGGATGCAGGACTTCATTTGCCAAATGTATGTCTTTCATTGCCTTATTTCAAAGCACATCAAGTTGCGGTTTTTTTTAAAGTGCTTTTTCTCTTTCTGGTGTCAGGAAAAACAGTGTCCAAAAGGCCTCTGAAAATTTGAGTTACCCAGGTTTTGAAAGGAAAAGCCTTCAAGTTATACAGGGGTGTTCTGTTCAATGCATTGTTCCTATGGGAATTCAGATGAGAGAGACTTTTCAACTACAGTACAGTGCCCCCCCCCCCCCGCCTAACAGACCTCCCATGTAAGGGATTTTTGCCAAACAGACAAAAATTGATGTAAGAAAAGTTCTTGGGCATTTCTCTCACCAATTTACCTTCCATTTAGCTAATTAAAAAAATTAACTCCAGCATAGAGGGACTTCCTTCTCTCTTTTTCACTTGAATGTTGTTTTTACAGAGAATGTTTACATTTCTATATACAGTACTGTACAGAGGTATAAGTATCCAATTCCCCAAATGTCCATTTTGTGTTCAAATATATCGATTGAATCTGTTTAAATTGGGAGACAATTTTTATTTTCATAGTATTTTGTCCATGAAAAAACACCGATTATAAATTATATAACGCAAGTATAAAAGAAAGATACTCAACTTGGGGACATTTTTACTTATGGACACTCTTGATGCTCCAATTATGTCCACATCTTGGGGTATCACTATATTATGAAATAAATGTCCTGCAGACTGGTTAAAAACTTCTGCAAACCACATGCAGCTCGCAGACAACTGATAACAGTCGAGAGAAATTCCTTGGATGGCATTATTTCTGCGCGTGTTTTTTTTCTCATCGACTAATCACATTTTTAATTATTTTTTATTTATTTAATATTTGCAGAGGGAATGCGTGTCGATTCATATCGGACAGGCCGGCGTGCAGATGGGCAACTCCTGCTGGGAGCTGTACTGTCTGGAGCACGGCATCAAGCCAGACGGGCATCTGGCTGACGATGCTGCCGAGATTCGCAGTCTGAAGCAGGCGGCGGCCATCAACGGGGAGCGTCCCTTCAACGGCGGCAACGGGGACGACACCTACATGGCCTTCTTCAATGAGACCGCAGCCGGGAAACACGTGCCCAGGGCCATCTATGCTGACCTGGAACCGTCCGTCGTTGGTGAGATATGAGAGACACACTACAGTGGCCCCCCGCCTAACAGACCTCCTGTGTAAGGGATTTTCACCAAACAGACCAGCTCTGCAAGCAGTTTTTCCTCCTGCCCAACAGAAAAAATCCGCCAAACAGACTTCTTTTGATTTAAAATTTGTGTTGAAAATTGAAATTTTTTATGTAATTGAATTTGTGTAAAGGACTTTTTGTCTAACAGACTCGTCCCTTGCACGAATCAAGTTGAATCAAGTCCGTTACATGGGGGTTGACTGTATTTCAAATTGGGAGGATTATGTTATTGAGGTTCAACTGCTGTTTGACAAAGGTTTTTTTAGAAGATATTCTATTTTTAATATGATGCTCATGAGCATCAAATTTTGCAAAAAATATCCCAACTTTTCAACACAAGGGTTAAGTTGTATACACTTTCCATGTATATACAGCACTGCAGTGAGACTCTGATATGTGGACACCCAAACATACAGACAATTTGACTTAGGGACACTTGAAAACCAGAAAAATCAGGCCCAACACCAAGACATTGGCTCATGTTAGGGACACTTTTGTATTGAATTTTCCCAAAAAATTTAAATATTTTATTTTTAATTTTGCTTTTTTTAACAAATTAAGTTACATTTACAGAATTTAAAAATTATGTCTGGATAAATTTACTCTAACTCATGATCAAAAGCAAGCTGATTTTGTGCCTCTTTTTCAGAATTTTTTTTTCTCTCTTGCCCTGCATGGGTATTTTTTTTTAAATCAGCTGAATGCTGGATGGGAAAGTGAAAGGAAAAGTACCAGAGCATTTTTCTTGCATATACCTTAGGGTTGGAAATATCTGTTCCTTGCAATATTGAGCCTAATCAAAGTATATTTTTCTAAAATTCATTCCCAATTTTATCATGCAATGTCCTCATGTAGAGTCCGTGTCCCTATATATGTTGGGCCTTTTTTATGATTTGTTTATTGAAAAATAAGCATCCCTATGTCAAGGTGTCCACATGTGGGGGTCTCACTATATTCAAGGAAACCCCTTGAATATGTGTTCTTGGCCTTCAAAAGGCTGATTGCCTGCATTTTTTTAATCATGGTTCTTTTGTGATCCTTGATCACATATATACAGTTGAACCTCTCTAAGTCAAATTTCAAGGGACCTGCAAAAAAATTCAACTTAGGGAGGTCAGGAATTTTATAGGTTGGAACTGCAGTACAAAGCCATTTTTTCTGGAAAGCTTGGGAAAAATTTTAATGGAGATATTGTAAAGCCTGAATGGCTTCTTAAATGAGTTGAAAGGCTGCTGAACTTGGAGGCAGGGGTTTATTTTCCCAATTAAGTCTTTCACTTCCTTTAAAATGCATAAGTTTATGTCTTTATTGCTTTTTTTCTTCATTTTTTCAAGAAAATAATGCCCAACAGGCCAAAGAAAATTCAACCTACAGAGGTCTGAGGGAAAAAGCCTTTGACTTAGAGAGGTTTTTTATGTATTGATTCTAAGGGGATTCAGAGGGGATCTGAAAAAAATTCGACTTAGGGGGGTATTTGACTTAGGGAGGTTCGAGTTATCCATGTTCAGCTGTATATACAATCCACCTCACATGTTAGAAACAGTAATTGAATTTATGGAAATGTTTGACCTTTTCTTCTTTTGCTTGGGATATGAAATGATTGTTTTAGACGCAATCAGCCAGGCTACAGCCGGGATGCTTCACACCCTAGTGTAAGGTTGATATATTTCAGAATTTGGGTTGGATTGGGTTCGTACAGCAGTTTCAACAAGCAGTCTTTTGCGTAAGATGACACAGAAGCAACTGATGCCTAAATGAAGAAACAATTCACTATTTAAACATTTTTCTTTCAATGGCATTTTTTTTTATCCCTGAGCATTATCCTTCAAAAGGATTTCCCCAAGAATCCCAAATCTTATGGGAACTCCAAGTTGAGTTTGTTCCCCCAGATCCCCAACTTTCTTGATATACAGTCAACCCCCATCTAACAGACTTGATTCGTGCAAGGGATGAGTCTGTTAGACAAAAAGTCCTTTACACAAATTCAATTACATAAAAAATTAAAAATTTCAATTTTCAACACTAATTTTAAACCAAAAGAAGTCTGTTTGGCAGATTTTGTCTGTTGGGCAGGAGGAAGAACTGCTTGCAGAGCTGGTCTGTTTGGCAAAAATCCCTTACACGGGAGGTCTGTTAGGCGGAGGGGCCACTGTATTGCCATTTTCCTGGAGCCACTCTAATCCTGTTGTATTTCAACCTATCACTAATTTTTTTTCCAACATCATGGCACAAGACTCACCCCTTGATTTTCAGACAATGAGCAGCAGAAATGACCCATCTGGAAGTGATGATGCCACCCCCGCAACTGAAACCCCTGCCGGAAATAACGGCTGTGTAGTAAACCACGTAGGGGAACTGGCCATGCCTGGCGTCGTCACCGGAAATGATGGGTTCTTCTTCGAATTCCAAGTCCCCGCCGGGGTCTTCCGTTTCCTCCACGGAAGCCTCGACTTCCGACTCGGGCTCGCCTTCGATTTGACCTAAAATGGTGGTGATGGATGGGCGCGTCTTCGACGAGAAAGGAAATGGTGCTGGTTCTCCCAATGAGGATGATTTTTCATTCTGGTTTGCCACCTGCTGAAGAGGGTCAGGTATTCCCCTGCGTTTCCAGTATTCTTCCCAACGCGAATTTTTGTTGGTGTACCTGAACATCACATGATGTAGGTAAGATACACAGCAGAATTCAGTTACAATGAATCTTTTGTTATAACAAATTTTTTTTCTTGGTCCTGGCAGTTTCCCATATAGGCATAATGTCATAAAAATTTCATTATAACAAAGTAATTTTAGGCTGTATAATCTCATAACAAGTTCTTGCCATAATTCTGTGCACAGCCCATAAAGGGATTACTCAAGAAATGGCAGAAATTGTTTTAAAAAAATTAAAAGATGCAGCATTAAAACATCATAAAAATAATCTGCATGCAAAGAAAACTTGCTATCCAACAAATACACAACAGGACATATTTTTTGAAATTCTTTAGCTCATCCATTTTAGAATATGCCTTTTTCAAATGAACAGTATGTAAGAATAATTTTCCTCTATTTTAGAAAGAGCCTTAGGTGGATAAGTTGATTGAGAAAGAAGTGGAGCATATGTTTACCATATGTAATTTTGTTTTCATTTTTCATGACCAGCAATACTTCAGTACAAACGCTTGTTCATTTAAAGGAGAGTACTTTCAATATTAATTAATTTATCTTCCTTTCATCAGAAGTAATCACTGATTATGCAAGGTCTTGAATTATGTGTTATAGAAGCATTTTGAAGTATGTATTCCCCATTTCCAATAAAATTGCAGTCTGAAATGTGCTAAGAATCATCAATCTTGATAAAGCAAATTTTTTGTTCTAACAAATTTTTTCTCAGGTCCCCAGGAGTTTGTTGTAACAAGATTTTACTGTACATATAAGTGCCAATTTTGCTGTAATAGATGCCCCTGGCATTTACTGTATTCACTCAAGTACCTTGGAAACGGTTTTCTCAAAATTTCAGAAGAAATTTTCATAAGCAGGTACAAATTTTGCAAGAAGTTCTAGGAAGTTATGTGTTCATTATATACTTTTATATAATGGAGAAATTTGGAACAAATGTAAAAGGAAAACTTGTTTACTGAAAAAGTTGAAAATTGATCAGATTTATGTTCAATTCATGTCTAGGGTCAATATTTTCAAAAATGTGTGGATTCAGAGTCACTGAAAATTGGGTTGAAATCAGACTCTTTCCCCACTTATAGAACTTTGTGGAAAAGTATGATTTTTAAATTTCCATTGCTCAGCAGTGGCACAAAATTATGCAAAAATATCCCAACTTTGCTGCACAAGGGTTGATACTTCATACCATTCTTTCATCCTTATGAAAGGAAATTAAAAAGGAAAGCAGCATATGTAAACCTTTGCAAGCTGTCTCTGATAACCCCAAATGCTTCACCAGTATCTCTGATCAAGTCCTCCAAATAAGTGGCTTCCTGACTTGTTGAAATCCCAGTTGAGTTTGACACTGTCACATCATCCCCATCATCATCATCATCAAACTCAATTTCAGTAATTGGCAGATCCAGAGATATCTCATATTGGCGCTTGTTCCTCTGCTGTCTATTGTAGTTGAGTGTGGTGGTGACTTCATTCAACACCTCAACAGTGGATCTAATCCAGGAATGATTGTCCAAAAAGCTCAACATTCGCCAAAAGAAACCCGAGCGACCATATGCTCCACAACCACGATTGGTGGTTGAAGAGGCTCCTGATCCTCCTCCACTTCCACCACCTGCTGGTGGTCTTGTGCTGCCACCATTGCCAGAACCAGCAGAGCCTTGGCCAGGAATGAGGGAGCCACCACCACTGCTGATTCCACCACCACCACCACCACCACCAGCAGGAGCACCACTTCCTCCTCCTCCTCCTTGGGCACCACTGCTGCCACAATTGTAGTAGCAACCACCACTGATGGTGTCTTGAGAAGAAGCAGTGTCAGCATTGTCACTGCCAGCTCCACCATCACTGCCACCAGCTGATATACCTGGGATGAACTCCAAAGCTGGCAGATCAAGGTGGGTTAAATGTACAATTCAGTGGAATACACAGCACATACAGTATGCCTAATTTCAAATTTTTGCAAGTTTCAAGCAATTTTTATTTGCAAATTTTGAAGGAAAAGGGTCAAATTTTAAATACAGTTGAAGATTGATAATGATTCAAACATCTTCATTAAAATTTTGTTGAGTTTTAAAATGTCTTGGTGGAATGTTAATGCTTGGGAAGCACTGCCAGGATTTATCTGCACACATCTGTGCCAAAAAACAAAAAAGGACATTACCAAGCATGATCCCAAGAGCCAAAGTTAGGAAAAATCCCAGTTTTTTTAATCAATACAGAAATGTTTAACAAAAAAAATCATTCACTGCCCAGTGCCATTTTTTTTCAGCAGTCCAGCTGTTGCATTAGTATAAGGGATTTTGAAGACAAATTGGTTTTGCTCTTTGGGATTTATTTTCCAAACTTTGACTACTTGGCCAAAGGTGTGTTTCAGTGACTTTTGGTCAAACCAAAATGTACAAGTGTGCAAAACATTTCCTGGCACTGCCTCACAATGCATATTGACCTGCTGCTGCCCAAGGGTTAAATACTGATGTACATCAGTTGAACCTTGATAACTCAAACCTCCCTAAATTATGCACCTCTCAATTATAATTTTTTTCAAGTTTTAAAAAGATTATACTTTAAGTGAAATGTTGAACACAGTTGAACCTGGAAAAGTCAAACCTTCATAAGTAAAACACCTCCTATGCCAATATTTTCAAGTCTCTTTCTGAATCACCTGAGAAGCAATGCAAAAAAAACCTCCCTCACTCAAAGGCTCACTTGATTCCATGAGAACTTGATTAAATATTCTGTATGCATTTTTGGCTATTGTGTTATGGACACAGGAGAGAGAAAAGCAATAAAAATATATATTCATTCTGAACAAATTGTAAAGACTAATTAGTCAAATGTATCTTTGCTTTCAAATTAAGCATCCTGTCCACTCATTCAAGCAGTAATACAATACTTACAATATCACCAATTATAATGTCCTGTAATTCTTGTTTTTTTCATCAATCACTGCTGGAAGCCTACATGACTTGAATTATTTTTCTGGTCCCTTGAATTTATTCCTAAAAAGGTTCCTTTGTGATTATAATAAAACACATTTTGTCAAGACAGGTCACCTTTAAAACAAGTCAACAATCCTCAATTACCATACTTGCACTTTTCTTTCTGTACATCTGCATAAAGAGGTGCAAAAATTTTCTTTGCTAGAATTTTCCTCAAAGTTACCAATGAAAAATCTTGGTGGGTACTCAAAACTCTCAAACAGCACAATATAATCAATAATTCAGGATACACACAAAATTTTCTAAATATTCCTATTCTGTGATTATTTTCCAGAAAAAGTCAATCTTACCTCCTGAAAATGCAGTAGCCAAAGACCACCATGCTAATTGAACTAACAGAGCACAAACCAATGAATGCTTCCCAAAATTTTGTCTCATTTTCACAAATATATCTTTCAGTAACCAGTCTCAGTTCCCAATAGATCAAAATACTTTTTTTCTGTGCAATTTTATTCACATACTGAAACTGATTTCAGGGGTTTTTCCTTCTCAAAAACGTGACAGTATAAATGAGGTCAGACAAAAAAGTTGCAGAATCATATCATCACAGGAACCAAGAGAACATTGACCTGTAGAGAATTTGTGTCATTGCACATTTTATGCCTCTCACGGTATGATTCATGACCGGCACATTTATCGACATGTGGTTTGATTATAACTTCAGAGGAAATATATGGTGGTACTACTTGCTTGGGGAACATTGGGGATTTATTGAGACTAGCAAGAAATCAATCTGAAACTTTGGCGGCCAAAGGGTCTGAAACTGACTCATCCAGTGAGTCATTCTTGAAATATACAGCAGCACTGACGGGGAATTACTTTTCTTCCAAGATTGGAATCAAGATGTACACATCAGCAGCGACAAATAAAAGCAATTTTGTATACATTTCCAAATTTTCATAAAAAATTCACCCGTTCATCACTCAAGCATTGATTTGATACTCCGACGACAAAAATAAATCGCATGAGAATTTCCGTTGGTGTGCATCACTTTCACGGCCGCGCGCGAGCTCTCAATATTTTCGGGATGATCTTTATTGGCACAGGAAACTTATTAATATTGATTGAAAATCGCTCATTCTTCGGGTATCATGCGGGGTTTCTCCTGTGTGATGATGTATCCCGGAGGAAGCACGATTTCCGTGTAGTCATCGTTGTATCTCCGATGAGTACAGACTTCAGTAGCCGGAACTCGCGTCAATTGCATGGGATTAATCGGAGGATACGCAGGACTAAGAGGACTCATGCCCCTGAATAGTGCAAAACAGGATTCCGAATACACGGGTTTGAGTCAAAAATGATGCAATGCACACTGACTTACCTCAAGGTTTTGGCGCTAGAAGTTCCCGTACCTTTCGTTTGCTTCTCGGTCGGGTACCATTCGAACTTTCCTTGCACACTGGGACGAATGATTCCTCCGGGTCTTTCTGTTCTGGTCGTGATGTATCCTTGTTCGCAAACGTTTTGCGTTACATCAGACGAGTTATTAATATTATCACCGTGACGATGATGGCTGTTGATGGGAATTCTCAGGTTTTGGATCCGTATGATCGTTTCGCAAGGAACGTTACGTCGAGCTAGTTCCCTCGTCGACGACGAATGATGCTTCTTATACCATAGCAATGACGCACAGATGAGTAGAGTTAGGAGCATGATGACTGCACCCGCGAACCCCAGCCAGAAGTACCAGAATGCCCAAAGGCTTTTGTTCTCTTCGTCGCAACACTTGGTCGTCATGATGCTCGTTTATTCACGCGCACTCAGTTCCGGAAACGCTGTATCTTCACGCACTGTACAGCACTTGATGCGCGATGATGTTTTCCGAATTAAACACTGCATCATCGTCGTCAACGATCACTAGACGATATTCTTTCGCACATGCACGGTGAACAGGTTCGAGAATTCGCGAGTTCTTCAGCTGTAACACGGTCGAGCGCATAATTCATCCTTTACATCTCTCTTCGGCGTTGAACGGTTTCGCGTGAGCTAATGTAAGCGGACATTGATGAGGGACTGTCAGGTTACCCCGCGGGGTCCAATGGTTCCCTCATTCCGGCGAATGGGTACTATACATACGCGGGGGTGCAATTGTTCCCTTTCTTTCACTGGGGGTCATGGCTTTGCATATTTTAGGGCAACTTTTCGTGTTCCGAGAGGGGTGTTTTATTATAGTCAGCCCAACGGCCTACTTAACGACGTACGCATGGCACGAATAACGCGAGGAACAGCAGGTGAATATGGATGAATCCACAAGTTTCACAATTATTCAATACAGTGACATTTTGTTGCGGTGAACCTCGTTATAATGAATTTCATGTTGCGGCGGTATTTTTTCCTGTTGAAATGATTTTTTTATGGATCAATGGCATAAGATTTGGAGTGTCCCTAAGTCAATAAATGTCACTAAGTTAAGTCTCATTTTCCCTTAGACTTACATTCTGTAGATTTTAATTGGTGTTTTATATGTACAAAATGCTCACCATAATTCCATGAAAATAAAAATTGTCTCCCAATTTAAACTAATTAAATCAATATACTTCAACACAATAAGGACATTTGGGGAATTGAATTTGGATACCTCTGTAGAGTACATATGTTGTCATTCTCTGTAAAAATAAAATTCAAGTGAAAAAGAGAGAAGGAAGTCCCTCTCTGCTGGAGGCAATTTTTTTAAATTAGCTAAATGGATGGTAAATTTGTGAGAGAAATGCCCAATAAGAGCTCATCTGCATTAAATTTAGGGTTGGAGATATCTGTTTCTTGCAATTTGGCCTGAAATGTATTTGCAATTTTATCACAAAGTGTCCCTATGTTGAGTCAGTGTCCTCATCTTGGCCCTTTTTTATCAATTTTTATTAGAAAATAAGTGTCCCTAATATGTTGAATTGTCTGCAGGTTGAGGTGTCCCCATGTGGGGGTCTCACTGTACATTGTTTTCATATGCACAGGGTGAAAATGATTTATTTCTCTTCAATGGAATAAATGTGTGGGCAATTCTTTAATGTGGAGGAAGTGTCAGATATATAAAATGCATAAGAAGGAGTTTCATCAGCACACACCAGTATATGGAATCAACTTATTGGAAAATTGGGGAAATACCAGAAATTTCTCATTTTCCCTCATATATGCACACAATACATTTAACATGAATGTTTGGTTTATTATATCCTGAACTATGTTGGGTTATTTCCATCTCATCTAAGAAAGTGTCTGTGACCTTATGTTGCCCCATATTGGAAAGACAGGATACTGTATATGGTTGCTCAGATATTCCTTGAAATAATGATATGGTCCTGTATTCCACCAGCAGTGCTTTTGTTCCTTGTCCATGTTTTGCATGATGGTGAATTGGATCATTTGTTTCATTGCTTTCAAGTAATTTCAGTTTGTGGGAGGAAAACCTTCTTCTGTCAGATTATTAACCCATGACATCTTGAAACAAGAATAACTTGGAATTTTTTGGAATGCTACTAAAAAAAAAGGAATTTGCCTGTTTTCTGTCTGCTGGCATTAAAAATTTAAAGTTGTCTGTGCAGCTTATTAATAAACATTATTTATTTGCTGGTAAATCTGATCTGTACACAAACTATTCAAAAAACACTTTGCATAAATGAAATTTCTTGAATAAGTGAAATGTTAGGTATATGAGTGAAATATATGTAAGCTAAATGTTAGCTATGCACTTTTATACAGTACATGGAATCTCATTCTGAATTTTCAGGGGTTAAAAAATTATTATTTGTTGCAAACAACTTTGTTGGGACTTCAGAAAAAGTTTGTTCAACTGAATACTTTGTTATAAATATTTTTTTTCAAAATTAAAGACATGGTAAAATGTCAGCATCAGACCTGCTTATGATAATCAATTGAGTATAAATCTTGCTTTTACTCTGGCATTCTCACATTTTCTTCTCATTGATTTAAAAACTGAGTGATTGAAAAACATATGAATTCAAGCATGCATTCCAATAGTTTGCATCAGTCTCTTCATTCTGCATGAGAGGATAATGTTTATTGGAATCACCTGAAGGCATTTTTGTCATTGATTCTACAGTTTTCATCTATTCTACAATAAGAACCAATCAAATTTAAAGGTATCTGTCGGGCCAATTAAATGACAAAGAAGATTGGTAAAAGAATTGGACACAGCAAGCAGCCTTTAGAGGCCGGATCCTCTTTAAGAGAGTCCCTTAACGCATCACAACTTTACTACAGGCACAGGGTGACCACAGAAGGACAATAAGTACTTTCAAGCACACAACAGATCAGACAAGACGTATAAGCTCAGCTTCTACACAACCACTGTCAGGCAATCCTCAAGCAAGGGTACCAAAGTCCTTGGAGACTTTGTCCAGGGTTTGTTGCCCGAGATCCGTATCAGTTAGCTACTGACCCGGTTTACTGCAATGCAGCAAACAGGGTGCCTATCCGCTTCCTGGTCCCTGCGCTGCTGTTGCTGCGCAACGTGCCCAAGTGAGGATGCTGCGCTCGGGTCATGCCGCGTGGACGCAACCCCACAGTATCACCTGTATTATATTAATTCTAGTAAGAATTCATGCAGCTGTCCTGGGCTACTATTCTGTGTTTTGCTTCCACTAATCCTTTGATCCAGAGTCTGTTGGGGACAAATGTGCCTCAATATAATTTGACGTTGAGTGATGATTAAATTATAATAAATCACGTTAATCAGTCTGGGACAGGACTGGGAATCCATTTAGGAATTCCTAAGTTTAAAAAAAGGTAAAGTGTATTTCACAGAATAATTGAATAAAACAACTCCATCAAAATCAACTTGCTGAATAATTTGAGTAACACAACTAATTCTAATCTAATGATATGAAAAGGAGCAGCTTATATACTACCAATAATAATTAACCTTCACAAGGTTTTACTTTTACAATCAGAACAAGGAAAGGAATGGTTGAGGATATATTTTGTACTTCTAGGAGTTGTTTAGAGTACATTACTTTACATGGTGTGCAAGCCCAAAAGAGTGTTTTACAACATCTCATGTTGTTGTGACAATTGTACCAGTGAAATTTTGTAAAAAGAAAATAATGCTGCAAAATTCTGCTCATATAACTCCTGTATGGAAACCGCTTCTTCTTTTATTGCGCCCAAAGACACATACAATAGTTCTGCCACATGAAAGATGAGGAAGGTCCAGAAATTCCCTGGACATGGTTTTTATACTCTTTTTTCCCCCCATTTTTCCAGAATGCAACAAATAACATAAACAAAAAAAAACAAATTGGAACATAGATTATTGAGAAACTTTAACTGAAAAGCCATCAGTGCACTGCATATACAATAACAGAGACTTGCTTGTCTTTTCACCTCTTTTTTCACATTCTTCTTTTCTCTGTCTCTCTCTGTCTTTTTTTTTAAAGATGTACAACAATGAAATCACATATGCTCAAAACGCGTTTTGGTATGATGCCTCTTTTTTTGTTTTGAGGTTAACAATGATGCTTTAATTTTTTTCCCTCAATTTTTTCTTTTCTTTTCACTTCTCTCTCTTTTTTCTTTCTTCTTTCTTTCTCTGCTGCTTCTATACTGTCACAATCAAGCTGAATACGAACGCGTTGAACATAAAGAAAAAGCTACTGATTTCAGGGCGTGGAGACGCAATATTTTCTGACGCGAGTCCGGATTTAATTAAGGACGAGAGATAATTAATTATCGTCCCGATAATTAATTATTTCGACGAATCACGCGTCTTTAATGCAATCGATTCTGGCCTGATTTCACTCGTCATCATTGTCGTGATGCTGCCGGTTTGATTTCTTTTTTAATTTCGATTTTCAATTTTTTTCAATGTAATTTTTTTGACTATATGTATAAATAAAATATAAATTGTGCACGTTAAGGCCGACGTCGAATATATGTGAACAAGGATATCGGATATATTTTGAAACATCACTGCATATGATGGAAATTTGTCAATAAAAAGCTTTTTTTTTTTGGTACTGAAAATAAAGAAAAAATTGATATTACTTTTGCTTGAGGTGAAGAAGAAACAGCTGTTTTTTGGGTCAAGATTACGTTTTTTTAAATATTTGGTAACGAAAACACATGCAATAGTGCAGGGATTTCTTTTAGATATTTTCTTTTTTTTTAGATGGTGATTCTTTTGCTGTAATTTTTCAATTTTTTGTTTAGTTACTCAGGAAGATAATTTGAATTTTGGCTAAATATGTTTTGAGTGAGATCACATGAAGTAAAACATTTTCTTATGAATGTTCTTTGAAAAGCTGAGGGTGGATATTATTTATTATATTAATTTTCAAGATATTCATTCATCAGAAATAATCAGCTCTCTTTTGAAAATGATTAAATTCTATATAATAATGAGATGTGATGCAATTGATTTAAAAATTGAGAAACTTTAAAATTTGCTACTGGTAAATTCTGAAATTACAACAGGAAGTAAAATTGTAAAATTAAAATTATGAGCTTTAATTTTTCTGAAAAATAATTTCAGAAATTAAAAGGAATGTTTGCCACTATACATGAAATAATTATTTCCAAAAGACTGTATTTAGTCTTTATAAATTTGTTCATTTTGGAGGTAAAATTCACAGGAAATTAACAAAAGATGCTGAGAAGAAATAGTGAATTTCATTAAAAAAAAATTGTTACATGATTAAATATTCTGTAGAAATTTAATCAGAAAAATTATATACTCAACCCCAGGGAAGATGAAAACAAGAGTTTTTGAACTTATTAAATTTCTTTTAGGAACTATTGAAACCTCTAAAAAATTCCTACTGAATATTTCAGAGAAAAAAGATTAGAATTTTGGAAGAAAAGCTGCATAAGTGACCTCACTCAACAGCAAGAAGCCAAATTTCCCCTTTTCGGGTCAATTGCTGTATATAATATAGAATATTTGCGCAGAAAAAAGGAATGAAAGACGAATAATGAAGAAGAACGTGATGAGGTGAAACGAATCCAGGCAGTTCAGGATGATGATGATATAATGAACTGTTGGTATCATAAATCTGTGTGTCTTTTTTTTTTAAGCCACTC